TCCCCGGCCCACCCAGCCTTCTCCTCTCTCTCTCCCTCCACTGCCACCTGGAGGTGGAGGCGGAGAGAGCAGGAGTAAGTGGCCATTACTTCACAGGTGTCTGAGGCCCAGCTGGGTGGGCAGAGCACAGAGCCCGGAGCCAGGCGATGCCACTACTGCCTAGCGTGGCCCAACGCTCCTATGAGCCTCAGTTTCCCCACTTGTACCCTGGATACAATGAAATATGTTCTTGCGAAAAACCAATAAAGTTTCCAGCCAAAAAAAGAATTAAGCTGAGTGATCCCATTCTGCCCTGTGGTTGCTGACACCCATGCACGTGACCCTGACCCCGGGCACTCCCTCCATGCCCACTTCCAGACTCCTCTCAGGACCCCACAGGTCCCAGGTCCCTCTTGCACTCCACAAGTACAAGCACACACACCCATCTGGATCCACTCCTAGCTGCAGACCACCCACCTCCCCAAGACCCTTCGAAAGGGCAGGGTGGACCCGGCCAGTGTGGCTCAGTGGTTGAGCATCGACCTATGAACCAGGAGGTCACGGTTTGATTCCCGGTCAGGGCACATGCCTGGGTTGTGGGCTCGATCCCCAGTGTGGGGCGTGCAGGAGGCAGCCGATAAGTGCCTCTCTCTCATCATTGATGTTTGTTTTTTTCCCTCTCTCTCTCTCCCTCTCCCTTTCTCTCTCTGAAATCAATAAAAAAAAATATATTTTTTTAAAAAGGGCTGGGCGGGCTTACATAGAGGTGCGGCATGCCTTTGAAGTCATTCTTCCGAAGCTCGGTGATGTCGTTGTTCTGCAGGTCCAGCAGTGTGGTGTCGGGCGAGATCTCCTTGGGCACAGTGATCAGATCTGGGGGCCAGCACCACTGTCACCCATGTGAGCCCAGGCCACATCCCCGAGAGGCTCAGAGCACGGGGACACTCACACACACGGACACGCACCCAGGGACCCCGCCACCGCCACCCGCCCACACTGAAATCAGGATCCCAGAGCCTGCCTGGGGTCACCCATCTGCGCTCCCATCCTCCCACGCCCATCCCACAGGACAGACGTGTGTCCCTTCCGTGCCCGCGCCTCCACACACCCCTCCCGCCACGGCACTGAGACTGACCTAGGTCGGAGCACTGAACCACCCGCAGGTGGCAGTGGCAGCCGAAAGGACACATGTTGCTGAAGCTGGGCGTGAGGGAGTCAATGTCCGGGTCGCCCGAGGTGTCGGTACCCGAAGCCTCCTCATCGTTCAGCATGGGCAGCCCGTCGTCCAGGGTGAAGTCCCAGAAGCCCTTTTGCTCGAAGGGCAGGGCCTGGCTCAGGGCCAGCAGGGACGTGAGGAGCCAGAGGGGCCACATGATGGACGTGCCTGCAGGCCAGGGAGAGGAGGGGCCGTCAGGAGGGCCCAGCCGGCACCACACCCATCCTCTCGGCCCTTTCCCCGGCCAGGGGCTGGGGTTCTCTGTGTGTTGGCACCGTGTTCCCCATCCACCACTGGCAGAGAGAACGGCTGTGGGCAGCCAGGAGGCACCTGGCAGAATCAGGGCACCTCCTTCCGCTCCCCTCTGCTCCCAGGCAAGACCTGGCTTTAGTGGGAATTGCATGTCTTCCCAGTTAGGGAGTCTGTGCCCCCCCCCCCCCCACACACCACTGAGTCAGCGAGCAGCTGCCTGGGGGGTCAGTGAGGCGAGTGGAGGAGGCGGAGAGAGAAACCCAATCATTTGCCCCCCACACGCTTTGAAGATACCACTGTGGCCCCGGGCCAATCCCACAAACTCAAGGCAATGTGGGCGCAGTCGGGGTTGAGTTAAGGGATTATGAGTTGCTTCCTCTCCTGCCTGAGCCCCCCACCTTGCAGTGCACCCACATCTTTTTACGGAAGCCAAGGCACCAGGCTGGGCACACTGCGCCAAGACCTGGGCTCGTTCCAGAGGCAGGAGGAGAAAGAGAGGGGCATTCCCTAGGGCACAGCCCCCCATCCGCTTCCCCACTGTCCCCCGGGGCCTCGGCTGCCTTGCCTGGCCCACAAGCCTTCCCCTGGCTGGGCTCGCAAAGCCCTGGGGCTCCCACATCCTTCCATCTGCCCAGGGTCCAGGCCCCTGAAGCCACCCCCCTTCCCCCGCCCCCGGGGGAGAAGACTGCCAGCAGGGTGGTGAGCAGGGTCAGGCTTGTCTGGAGGCCCCCAGGCTGGGCAGCGAGGTGGGGTGGGGGTGCTTCCCTGCCTGAGCCTGCCTCTGGCACCCACATGGGCCTGCCTCCTCCCTCCTCCAGAAGAGGCTGCACCCAGCCAGAGGCTGCTCTGCCCAAAGGCTCTGTACAGGCAGGAGCCAGGGCCCATGCCTCTCCCATCTCCCCCCCCCCCCCCCCAACAAGGATTTCCCGGAAAAGTCCCAGCTTCATTTTCCCTATCTGTTCAAAAGGGAGAAAAAATGCGCATATCCCGCTGCTTGCTCTCACAAGGTCCGGGTCGGGGACAGGGGGGGAAAGGCTGCCCTGGGTGCATACTGTGGGGCAAGGAGACCAACGACTGCCTGCGCCTCCTGCAGAACCAACTGGGCCCACCCAGGGAGGCCCTCATTTGGAGCCCATCTTGGACAAGAGAGGGGGTATTTGAAGCATAAGTGGGGCTGGGGGAGCTCCCTGAGCCTAGGATGCTGG